TATATATATATACAACAAATTTGAAGAAAATTATATAAATAAATTTTCTGAATTGATTTTGCAGAATTTTTTGAAGTTTGTATTTAGTATTGCATGTAACATTTTTTTGATTTATCATATTTAGCATATTACACAAAAGCTAAACAGTTTAGCTACGTACGGTGGCTCAATTAGTTTAACACTTGAATATAGTTTGATTCGAATCATGTGGTAATAAGTTTTTTTCTCAAAAACAATTATCAATATTTTGTAGTATGAGATGTAGCAATTGATGATTCAGAATTACAGAAAAAAGACAGTGTTATCACTGATCTTGGTTACCATTTTTAACAAGATTAATACAATTTTTAAGCATATTACAATTTTTAGCATGATATGGCCATAGGTTGTCAAGTGGAAAAGAACATTTGGTGACCATGGCTTGTAATTCAAAAAATTCATGCACAAAGTTTATTATATTTTATACATTACTTTCTTTTTTTACTCGGAAAAATTGTGATACAGTATTTAAACATCAGTTTGATTATTTTTATTTGTATCGACATGTATTGATCGTCATTTCAGCTCCTGGTGAAGTCTCTGTTAATGTTGAAGATGAACGATCAAAACCCACAAAGTTGTTCATATCTTGGTCAGCACCTAGGGTGGTTCATTGCCCGATACTTCAGTACAGGATAGAATATAAACTTACTCAACTTGATCAGTGTCAGGACCAAAGTAATGAATTTGAAGTCAGTGTTGTGGATCATACAAAAAAAGAATACACCTTATCGGAACTTAAACCATTTAGCACTTATGAGGTAGTTGTATCAGCTGGAGTAGATGGAATCAATGGCAACACAGTATTCACTCCTGGTCTTGTTGGTTTTGGCAATACAACATTCACAGGTTAGTACTTCTAGATTAAAACAAAAAGCCTGTTAGACAAGCATATTTGAAAAAAAAAAAAATCACAGTTACTATTTGTGAATTTTGTATAACTATTCCTTGATAATTTTAGATGCTACAGCACCACCACAAAACATAATTAACCACCAAACAGAGGATGGACGATCACTGAAGTTCATATGGGAAGAAATTCCTTGCGGTGACAGGAGAGGTCCTATAGTAAAATACAACTATATTCTGGAAATGAATTCCAGTACTGTGAAAGAAACTACTGTTGGTAAACCCAGTAAAGTGATAAAAGACCTGATTCCTTGTACCACATACACATTCATGGTGAGTGGCAAAGGTCCTGGGGGCCAAGGTCCATTCAGTGACGGTATTGAAGCAAGAACAAATGCAGAAGGTAGTATTTCTTGTTTATATCTAAGGCCGGCCACTCACAAAGTTGTACTCCGCTCCCTGTGCTAGATGACGCGACGCCACCAACTGATTGACGGTGGTCATCTGAACGGATCGTCATTAAAAGCAATTATCAGTTGCGCACGCGTCATCGTGTTCCGTTGTTCATAGAATCGCTTTGACCGACGACCGTCGAGCGCAGTGCGTGTCCAGCATAATGGTTTAAATTTGTAGCTGTAGAAAACTAAGATTGGGTGATAGATATTTTAAGGGTGGGTGGGTGATTTCATTAATGAAATAATATGGGTGGATATTAAAGATGGAAAAGTGGGATAATAAGGGTGGGTGGAGGGCCAAGAAATTTGCTTTAGACTGGGTGTAAACTTCAAGGCTGCGTGGCCCCGCCCACTTCCGCCCACCATGTGTACTGTACATCCTTGAATGTTTGGCAATTCTATAGTTAACAGCAGTGTAAATGGTAGGTCTGAAGAGAACTAGTTAAAATCAATGTAAAGTAAACTAATGAGCTGTGTATTGAAGGTTGCAAATTACATTAAACAAGTGAATATGGATAAATACAAGAAAAGATCAATTCACAATAAATAAAACAATGTGATAAGGAATTAAACAAAATTAAAATGCATACAGTATATAAATTTGTATTTCTTGTAATCATACTTTCTTTAAATTTTTATATTAGTTCCAGAGAGTGTAGAAAATGTTGACGTCCAGGGATCAAAATTGGTGTGGGACAGACCTCAACCTTTGACCTGTGACATTTTAAATTACCATATTAATTTAAGTTTGATTGAAAAGGATCAGTGTCAACAAGTTTATAGAAATAAAAAATTTACTACAGAAGATGCTGAAATAAATTTATTAGAATTGGAACCATATTCAACACATCAAGTCACTATTAGCGCTGAAACAGATGCAGGACTTGGTCCGGAAACTACTTATGAATTTGTAACTCCTGAAAAAGGTAAAGAATTGAGAGTGATTGAATAGAACACAATAAATTGCTGTTGACACCCATAAGATTTGATATGATGCAAGCCCATAATTACTGTGCAGTAGGTGGACTTCTATTTTCAAGCAAAAAGAAGAAAACCCCCTTTTTCAAGATGAAAATCACCATTTGTATAGTAGAATATAGTTCAACTCCAGAGGGCAGCCCCTGGTCAAGCATTCTTCCATGGATCCTACTAGGGGGCCTAGTTACCCCCTTTGACTTCTGATTTTCCTAGAAGATGATAGTTATTGTCTGTTTTTTTTTAATATATCACTTCTATAGTTCCTAAACGTGGTCCAAAAGAAGTTAACATTACTACTCTGTCAGCCACAGGAGCCAGCTTTGCATGGTCTGAAATAGAATGTGGCTATAGAAGAGGTCTCATCAGAGGCTACAAATTCAGCTTGCAAAATGCAGATGGCATAGAACTTATCACTAATGAGACAAGTGAGCTTCAGTGTGAATTTAACAATCTTAATCCATTTACTGAGTACATTTTCAGTGTAAAAGGTTTCAATTCCAAGGGTGATGGAAAAAGCAAAGAAAAAAATATAACAACGGATGAGTCAAGTAAGAATATTTTTTACTTATGCTATATAAATATTTTTTTTGTTGTTATATACAGTATATGCATATAATTTTATCAATACTATGGCCGAGGGCTTTTCCATCTCATTCATCTTTTAATGTGGAAATGACAAATAAATTAGCACTGATTTCTGATTGAAGCTGCATTTACATCAAATCCAATCTAACATTTGGACCTTGTTTATTATATGCTGAACATCAGTCACTATTCTTATATGCTGAACATC